TGAAGGATAGAAAAAACAACAATCAATTCTTTTTTCAACAACCAGCTTAGTTAACAATGAGTCTCATAACGTGACAAGAAACATATTAAACCACCATTACTTCCCCGAGCTTGACCAAGGCACAGTCTACGCCACAAAAGCATAGTAAGTCTTTACATCTATCGCTATTAACTCCTACTAAAACACTACGCAGATTTCCCGCAATGTCTACCAAGCAGTGTGATGGTACCCTTCCAGATGGGTCGACATGCAATGCGACTATCACTGATTCCATTAAAAAATGCTTGAAATGCGGTAAAGTTTATGTAAGATTTTCCAAGAACCGCAAATATACATGGCTGGAGCTAATTAAAAATCAATAGAACTGAAGTGGAGAGTCTGGGTTTCTATTGGGGTTTTTTTTTCTGCTTTTCGCCTTGACTCAATATCATTCAACATGATGTAGTCACAGAGTTAATGGAATTCATTGATCAATAATCCAATACTGCTACTGAATGATGCTTTTGCCCATTAATTCTTCACCTCTTCTCTGTGTAGTTGACTAGGATGTGGAAGCTCCCCAGATTCAATCAACATTTGTAATTCTTCTTTATTGCGCCAGTTCTCATAGCATTCTAGGTATTCCTCTGGAAGAAATTCTGCTATTACCTGGGCTAGGTTATTAGCACGCTTTCTGTAAGCAGCTAAGTCCAGTGTTCCAGGCCATCTTTCCATCCCTGGTGGGAAGTAGCCAGCATACTCCCAATCAATCAAGGACTTGACTTGAAGAGTTTGTGGATCTATGATAATGTTGTGAGCTGCGATATCGCCGTGTTGAAAAATATAATTTGGTTCCTTTAAAGGGAGAGTCTTCCAAGATTTTTTGCCTTTCCATGGAGGTTCAGCATCAGGGCTAAGCCAAGAGGGGGGCATAACAAATCCATCAATACCTCTTTCTCGAGATCTTAAATTCGCAAGCTGTGGTAAAACGATATCCCTGATAAACTCAAGCGCATTCGAGTAAGCTTGATCTGAACATGCCTTGCATGGAGTATGATCTGTATGTTTCTGATCCTCCAGCCTTGAGCAGCTTTGGGTTAGAATTTTGTTTAGGGTTACGCCTTCAATAAACTCTGTGATCAGATATCGTCGGCCGTCTGGATGCTCTCCATGCGCAAGTAATTTCGGCACAGGAATTGTTGTTTGCTGAGAAACTAGCTCTAAAGCTTTAGCTTCATTGGTGATACGCTCATGATTCCTATCCAAGTATAGCTATAGTCAGTATTATATAATAATATTAAGAAAAGTTCTTACCATGATCTGAACCATATAAAAGGAGTGCCATCAGGATATGGATCATTGAAAGGGAGACGTGAGGTCTTTTTAAAGGTTGTAGCCGTAATTTCATACGCCACATCATTCGACTCATAGCTATTGAGGACTGCACTAGCTGCGACTTCTTTTAGTTCAAGTTAATGAAATGGTGTCAAAACAACTGGAAGGAGTGAAATTTCACCATATAGAGAGGCTTACCAGCTACATTCTGAATATTAGACGTAGAAGCCATTGGATAATAAGCTGAATGAATATGTTGTTAGCAATTAGTGTGTTTGTTGGCAAGTTTGTTGGGGAGTCCAGAGATGGGTCGGATTCTTATAGGCGAGTCCTGCTTATCGAGTCTCAGTTAGTAAGCAGGACTGCGCCACACAATGAGCAACCTGCGAATATGGGACCAGTTCACATAACTAGCCACATATCCCAGGACTAGCCACATGTCCTACCAAGAGTCTACCCTATGTGGCTACGTCCTTGGAGCAAGTTTGCGGACTCATTACGCCAACAACAGTTTGAAGTGATCAGGGGGATCTGTGGAAACGAGCAACTCTTCAATCAACAGAGTACTACCCGGGACATAAGATCACCCAGGCTCGTGATCGGGGCACATCACCAGATTTGATTCTGATGTATAGGCCTCCTTTAAGGATCATGGGAAAATATGCGGCTTCAATATAGAGCCCAATTTGAGGACTCGAGACCCAAAACGTGGTCTACATCAGCGTCTACAAGCGAGTTCGCTGGAACTTTCCTGATTTGGCGAAACTCTCAACATTCCCACCTCAAAGGCGCATAATTTCCTTCTTCAGGATATGTTTTTATATTGCCTTTAAGCGAGCCTATGACCGCTTAGCTCCATAGCCTCTGTAGCTAGGGATCTCTGAATTGAGACTGCCGAATGACCAATGTCCAGTAAGATCTTTGTTCTCAGCTACAGCTACAGGGCAAACCAAAAATACGCGTATGTGCTTTACGCTCTCTCTTAGTAGAACGCTCGACATCTCTTCATACAATGCTAACCTTCCGCCAACACCCTTGGGTCCCTCTGGGCATCGTGGAGGATCTTCTTCATCGAGGAATAGAGCTCTGGCTCTAGCTTCATCCATCTCCCACCGTTTGGGAACACCTTCCTCCGCAACCTATTGACCCATGGGATCAATGGCCGGTAGTGCGACGTGAAATGCTTGTCCGCCCTCTTGAGAAAATCTTCCTCGACCGTGATCTCGCCCTGCTTCAATGCTGCTAAATCATCCGTATCAACATAATTCCAATTTTCATATCGCGGAACTGGCTTGCCGTCGTCTGGGCCGTTGTAGTGAATGCATATCCAGAACAGTACCCAGAAGAAGGACTCAAGATCGTGCATGAAGGAGTGCTCATCATCCAACAGCGCTCCAATAGCCATGAACGCCCTCGTTCCCGTCTTTCCCTTTGCTCCAGAGGCACCTTCTCGTTGCCCTCGGACAGCAAGGTCAAGGTCGATCAAGAAGGCCGTCCAGGAAGGGTTCTTTTCGTCCTCATTCATCATGAGGTTGTTGATAGAGATGTCTCTGTGGAGAAGACCCACCTTGTGCAAGTGATGATGGCCCTCAATGCAGCCTTCCAGCGCAGAAAGCAGCGCAACGCGGGAGCTTGCTTTGTAGATTGGTTTTCCGTAGTCGCTAAGAATAACTCGCCGGTGCACCCGGTTTGGTGGTCGTTCGCCGCTTGCCTTTGTTGGAGACGTTGGACGGGATCGCTTAATCGGCGGTAGAGTGGCGTCAGCATCGCTGGATGGCCGCTTCACGCCAGCGCTGGTACTTCGCCCTTTACGGGAAATAGATACGTTCGCACTGGACTGCAGCATCGCACGTCCTGGTCGATAATTCGCGGCTTCCGTGACGTCCAGGCCCTTTCGAATGTTTTGTTGAATGTCGTCATTGGCACCTCGTACGCGAACGGTCTCATGGTGGTAATATCGGGCAACGTTAGCAACACCTTTCTCAGTCGCCTCTCGGAGGAGTTCGCCTTCTTCGTCCCGATCCGTATATTGCCATGAGTCCTTGATAACAAGCGGCGTCTGTGGATCCTCCATTCGATGAGCTCTCCAACAGACAGTCGCCCGACCGGCAACGCAACGTGCTCGCTTCATGACCTCGTCAATGATGAGGCGCTCTGTTTTGTCGTTTCGTTCGATGTCGATATATTGCTCATCGCCAGATGCTCTAATGGTAGGGTCAAACCCAAGCATCTCCTCGTTCATCAGCAGAAATCCCAGGATGGACGTCACAAACTGTAGCCCACCGTCCTTCGTATTAATATCAAATTGTTCGGAGGCGACCCCCCCAAGCCGGTCGAACTCCCATACCCTCATAAGAGACCCGCAGAGAGTAAAGCCCAAGACGAAGCGACGTGTCTCTTGTGCGCCGAATACCTCTCTCACGTACCTTGCAAGATCAATCCATGCAATCGACGCTGTATCCGCCTTCGGGTTGCTTTTCAGTTCGCCAGCAACGAGGATGTGTGACCAACGATATCTCGAATCTTCAGAGTCAGGATTGTATGTGATTTCACTGTTGACAAAGCCGATATCCATGCTGCGTTTGCCTGTGGAGCCAACTAATGGGGTTCTCGGCTGCGCCAATAGCTTTCGCCGGGTCGCCAGCGTTGGAATGCGGGCGCCAGCGAATGCTTCCAGCTTGGGGATTAAGCCACCAAACCAAGCCAACACCTCGCTCTCTTTGGCGGTTGCTGGCCATCCATTCCAACCATCAGTGAAGAGCGGATGGTCGTCATCGGTACACCTGCGAAAAACTGCCTCAGAGACTTTGTCGAGGTCTGGCACGTCTCCAAAGAAGGCTTTGGGAAAATTGGGAAGTCCAGCATAGAGATGTTCGAGCTCCAGCTTAAGGATCGGGTCGACATTCTGGCGAAATTCCGACGAGTTCACGAGGCCGCTCGTGTTCTGACTCAACGGCGTTTGTTGGATAGAGGAAGGTATTGGTCGTGGAGGAGGGGTAGATTCTGTGACAGCTTCGTATAGATGGTTCCAGATATCCGTATCGTCGGGTTCGCCAGCGAGAGCTAATCTCAGTGGAGGTTTAATACGATCGAGGATGAAATCGTCAGGGTCGAGGGAAAGTTCCAACCGTAACAGATCGCTGCGGAGTGTGCCACGACCCGTCCTGGCGGGAAGCAGACGGGCTGCAGGAAGATTTTGCGTTACTGAAAGGAAAGCAAGCACGAGTGTCCGGAGGTCTATGTGATAGTCAGAAGGCACACCACGGCGACGCTGAGTGGATTGCCTTACCTTCCTGACCAAGACGCTCAAGCGCGTCTGGAGTACAGGAGATGCTTGCGCCTTGGCATATCGAATTGAAAGAAGCGCGAAAGTCATCAAGGCCATTCCCAATAGGATTGTCCCTTATAACCTTTGAGCTTCTTTGTACCGACATGGCTGTCTCGTCATCGCCGTACGTTCTGGAAGTGGTGGAGACTCGTGTTGTCGCGTAATTGAGATTGGCGAGACAGGCACTCGGAGAATAGGGTGTCAATAGCCATTCAATTAAACGCTGCGTGCATCCAAAGGCTTGCGATGGAAAGACTCACGAAGGGGGGAAAAAGTGCCTTGAGGAACGAAAGGCTCGCCCTTCCGCCCCCTTCAAAAGCAACACCTGGAACACCGCCACCTCAAGCCACATCTCAATAGCCACAGCTTACTCTTGGGCCAAAATCCCAGGCCACCTAATGGTGCGTGCTCACCAGCCTCACCACAATTGCTCCACCACAATCCCTCTCTGCGCCACTATGCCTTGAGGAACGCAAGGATTTTTTCCTCCGGGTTCTCTTTCGTACGGTCGGGCCACAGAACGGTCCGGCACACAAGTCCCCTGCGCCTCTTCATTCGCCATGATCGATGCACGACGTTTACTCGTGCCACGCCCCCACTCTTTCGGGTCGCGACTTCGCTGCAACCTAAGAAAGGGTGCTGGTCACCAAACAGTCCTGGAACCCTGCTGA